CTCTCTCTGACCCTTAAACGGAGACAGTCACCTTTTCAATGGGGTGAATTGAGAAGGTATTTAGCAGAGCAGAGTTGCGCTACAGTCATGTCACTGAGAATTAAAGGAGAATTTTCCACCTATGCTGGATAAAAGAAGGAAGAAAATATGGATTAGAGCCCACCAGCTCATACCCTCCCCTTCCCATTCCATTTAAGCGGAGTTTGTATGAAATGGAGTATTCAGAGTCTCAATGTTAATGACAGTTATCTATATGTATCTAAAGGTATGTGTGGCTTTCATTTACTACATTAATTTTCTTTCACAAATCAAAACAAAAAAAATACACAAGTGAAACAAAAGTGGAGGGTTTTTTCCTTTTACTGTTTCAGGCTTACCAAAGGAGTAAGCTGTATTTGAGCTAATTTAGGTAACAACAGATGATCTGCATTATATTTTTCTCAATTAATATGTGTTTTCATCACATCACTTCTTTTTGTATTAGTGTTTTTGTGAACAAATATTTTGCACTAACAGTGTCATCATATCTATAACATCCTTTTTGGGGTTTTCTTCTAAATCAGTTTCTCTTGCTCCAATTTCTGCTAGTTTCCATTCAAGCTCTGTAAAGACAAATAACAATTTATTCTGATAGTGACAAAAAATTCTCACTTAAGAGGAAAAAGACTTCTGTTAAAGATCAAGCTCTATCTCATCAGCAAAAAATAGAGCCATCCTTGCAACAACCCAACTTTCAGTAAAATATCTAACCATGAAATTGCAAAATATCCATGCTTATCTTACGTAGAATTACATTAATTATTTGCTTTTTGTAGACCATTCTTCTATGAAAATAATAAAAATCATACACCTTTTTCACCTTTAAGCAGTGATCTTTATATCGTGATTAAAAACAACACAAAACTTTCTATAAAGTGAGTTATATAAAAGTATTTCTCCTACCTTCCACTTTAAGATACATTCCTCCACATTCAGCCACTCCAATGAACCTGCCTTTTATTTCACCAGTTTTATATACAAGTATTGTGGGTAAACATCTGTCATGGTAATTCTGAATGCAGCTGTTTGCAGCAGCTTTGAGAAACTTGACTTCTGGAAACTTTCTGGCTAGCAGGCTGAGCTGTTCATTAACCAGTAAACACATTGGGATGCTGGAAAAGAATAACAAAGTATGATGATACTTCCAGTGTAAATTATTTGTAAAATACTTGAAGTTATTAAAATAAAAGCCTTTGAAGAATTAATGTACCTTTTTCCTATAGTCTGCTTCTGCTATAATTTGTTAAAAGAATGGCACCACAAATTTTATTTACCATCTTCTAAGATCATTGGGATTTAAAGAGCTTTTGAAGTAAAAATACATAATAGGCATTGTCTAGAAAATATGTCAGTAAAGCTATCAGGTGCTTCAAGCATTGTGCCCCAATTTTGTTGTACACTAAGATTTTAAACCTCATTTTGTCCATTTATTGTAGACTTTAAATGAGTTATTTTTAAATTTGTAATACACATTTTGCTTTAATTTATTTGAACTGGCTTTCAGTTTATCTTTTAATTACTTCTTCATTCTCTCAGCAAAATCTAAGTAATGTCAGGGAAATCTTTGTATAGTCCTATTACTACCATAGGCCTGTTAATTACTCTCATAGCTACTATTTGCAATACAACCACTAGGTAAACCTCAGTAAAGAAACTACAAGAAACATCATTTTTTTTGTTCCCTCCAGCCCGTTAACCGTTTAGAAGTGAGGATTTTGTTGTAACTGGCTGCGGATGAAGATGATTTAGCCTGTGGAGCCATGAGGGGTTCCAGTAGCACCCTCTCGTGGCCCAGACCAGGAGAGGCAGCTTCGTTGGCAGTCATAGGAGACTTTAGAGATCCAATGCTTCCTCACAGGCTCGTATTTATGCAATGATAAAGTACAGAATTGGCTCTCCAGTAAAGAAAAGCAATGGAAAGTGAGAAAAGCTGCTATTTTATTTCTTCAGATATGTAAATTTAAATTACTGTAATCTGAATAATTTCATTTGATTGACCCATCCCTATTACTCCTGGAAATAATACTCAATTCCTGACAATTGAGAAGCATCAAAGAAGCTTCCTCCCTACAGGCTTAAAAAGAGGGAAAACAGAAAGCTGGTTTGAATGGAAAAAAATGTATTAGATGTTCCCCTCCCACTCTCAGTGCTTCTGAAAAACATCTAAGAGAGTTGCTAACATACGGCACTGATCATGGGGGTACCTTGACATTTCTGCTGGATCCTGTCACAACTTTTACTACCATTAGAGAATTTAGCAGGGAACCTATAAACTAACAAATTCCCTAGCTTTCCTTAATTTTCATAACAGAATTTTCCTATGGGGCTTTTGATTTTTTTGAGTAAAGGGTGGAATAAAGATAGAATAATCCTGTTAGAGCACTCCAGCTGAGAAAAGGAACTTCCCTAAGCACGGACACTGGACACCACTTTCTCAGTGAAATTCAGAAATCCCAGTGAGGTTCAGTACATGGTGATAAGCATACACAGCAAAAGAAATCTTTGATATGATTGAACAAAAGTGAAGTGATTCTCTTTTACAACGTGAATTAAATCAAGGAAATCCCATGCTCTATGATTCCATTGCCTCCAAACAATTGCTATTTCATGAGTCTATGGTATTTCATTTTTCTTGCTACTGCTTTTAAATTACCAGTTCAATTATCTGTATTGAAGTATTCATCTCTTAAACAAGGAAGTAATTACCTTGACCGATAAAGATGAATTATAACACAAACATCCCCTGGAGCATTTGTAACTTCCTTTACATACTGCTCTCCACAAATTTCCCTTAGCTCCCCATACTTTTGCCTCCTCTGAAGACATTTCCATTCTTTCAAGCGTTGCTGCCTAATTGAAAAATAAGCAATTATAAAAATAAGCATTTGGAAGACATTTACATGCATTTAAAAATAATATCTAGTGCATTTCTCTCATTTACTTTTAAAAATGCTTTGAATTATGCTTTAGCTCAAGGTCTTCTAATGTAATTTCAGAGCTAGAACAGCTTCTGTGCTAATCTACGTTCAACAAGGTAACATTAAAATACATTTTCTTAGTTTTATGTTCCTCAGTATCAGATTTGGGAAACGACTAACAAACATGTTGCACAAGGCTTTACCATTTAAGACAAAGCAAGAAAAAATTAAAGCAGGTACTAATTGTTTTTCTGATTCTGAAAATGAGATTAGTTTGAGGAAGAACTACCAGTACTTATACCAATATGAATGTATGAGGCAATTTTAAAACAGCTCATGAAAACTGGAATGTAAAAACAGTAGATGGCAGTCTTAATCTATAAAAACACTTGCAAGGTAGAAAAGGAAAATGCCTCGCTGAGATTTGTTGAACTAAAAGCAGATATTAATTTTAGAAGTGGCTTTCGAAAAAAAAAAGATTAAATAATATATGTGCAATGTTATTATACACTAGCAACAATGATATACTAATTTAGGTTCACAACTTCAACATAATTATGTGAATCATTATCTTCCTATGAGAATACAGCACTAGATGCACAGTGTTAGCATTTGAATTATTTTAGTCATTTTAACAATGCAAAAGCAGTAAGCACAAGTAGAGTCTCGACAGAGGAAATATTTTGATCATATTAGCATTTTTATTCTGTGTAAACTGCATGTCTCATTTTTCTTAGTTACAATATAAAGCTCTGCAGAACTCAACAGTTATGCCTAAGTATGGTACATGGTATATCACAGAATCGCAGCACGGCTGAGGTTGGAAGGGACCTCTGGAGGTCATCTGATTCACCCCCTTGTTCAAAGAGGGTCAGCCTTGCGCAGGTTGTCCAGGACCGTGTCCAGACAGCTTCTTAGCATCTCCAAGGAAGGAGACTCCACAGCCTCCCTGGGCAACCTATGCCAGTGCTCCATCACCCTCACAGTCAAAAAGTGTTTCCTGATGATCAGACAGAACCTCATGTAGTTCAGTTTGCACCCACTGCCTCTGGTCCTTTCACTGGGCACCACTGGAAACACCCTGGCTCTGTCTGCTTTATACCCTCCATTCAGATATGTATAGACATTGATTAGATCTCCTCTGAGCCTTCCTTCAATATAAACTTCAAATGAATATTTTCATGAAGTAAGAAATAGAAAAGCCATTAAAATTAATCTTGGATAAGAAGCAAAACAAACACAACAGTTGTGTATTAGGAGTCCACAACTGACTAGATAACCATCTTTCAAAAACACAAGTTTATCAACTACCACCATTCCACCACAGAGACTGCAGCGTATTATATACTGAAACTGTGATTAATAATAAATTCTGCATTGCATTTTTCTTTTAATAATACATTTAGAAAGCACATTGTACCAGAAATGAGTGCTACCCAAAAGGCAGAGGTGTATTTTGAACACAATGCTCAGATTAAATATTTAATTATCAATTAGAAATACTAAGCAGTTTGATTCCAGTACTGAAATACAGTTTTCTCCTTTAATGGCATGCCAACATGATATAGGTGGCATGCACTCCGTATGCACAAGCTCAGTAAACATGTTGTAAACATGATAGAAAAGGGATACCCGCGACCAGCTGTCCATTTCCTCCTGGCCTGAAATTCACAGAAAGTGCTATCCAGAAGAGAGAAAATGGGATACAGAACTTCTCTTTCTCTGAACATTTATCATCATTTCTCTAACTCCTAAAGACCGGCAGAAAGTATCTTCAGAGGGGCAGAGTGAGGGGTACAATTTAATCAGGCAAAACAGACAATGAACCCTACTCGTGTAACTTCAATAAATGTTGAGTGTACACCACTTCAGTCACACAGCGCCTCTAAACATACAGTAACACGATATATCCCCAGCTGAACTGAGGATTTATAGCAGTTGTTCCCACTGTGGCCCCTTCTATTCTTTTCCTTTTAAATGTCCAGATTTCAGACTAAATTAACTTTTTTAACGGGGGATAATTTTGTTCCAAAAAACACCAGAGGAAAATACAGTGTAAAGGGCTTCTCTTTGCCAACGGCAATCAGGAAGAAGAAGCTGGAAAGTAATGTGAGGGCTGTTTATCTGCTGGCAAAGGAGCGAAAGATAAAAAAAGGCAGTTGTGTTAGTCAGCAGATATTACTAATCAAAAGATTCTGAGTTTATTTCTCAGGGGCATATACATGTAGAATAGTGTATGTAAATCTGGATAGAAATACCTGTACATTTCAATAGCTTTCCTATCAGCCTCGTCAAAGTCGTCTTCAGCTTCCTGCAGTTCTTCAAGATTCATTCTTTCATATGGTTTCACTAGAAACAACAAACAAAAAGCACTGTTGTTCTCCAAAGTGTCTACAAACAGTTTAAATATTTGAAAATAATTACATGGACATGGAACTAATGAAAGAAAAAGATGTACTCATTTCAGAAATTAGTCAATTTTGGCATAAGTCTGGGTAAGACAGAGAAAAAAAGAGAAATTAATTTAACTGTAACTATACAGAAAAATACAGAAATACAGGAGTGGATCACTACCATTTTTTCAGAATGTGAATTTTGTTTATACTGACTGGTTCCTTTATGAAATTATGAAAATTGGTTATCTGTACATATTACATGCTGTAATGTTTGTCACTAACTGTGTTATATACTTAGTTCAGAATCCTTTCGAAAATAATCAGTTTAAAATAAATAAAATAGAAATATAATTATTGTACAATGTTTAAATTGAAAAAGCATTCTTGAAAATACCTCCACTTCTCAAATTTGGTTATACCAATGGCATATATTTTTAATTTTAATTGCCTTCTGCTTCTTTCAAGTGTAAAACCCTTTCTTCAACTTCATCTTTTGGTTTTTCTTTTGGAGGAAGAATTCCAAATTGTCTCAGTATGTCATTCCATTCAGTGTCTTCATCTGGATCCTATTTTAAGATTATGAAAAAGAAATCCTAAATCAACAAACCAGTCTTATGTTCCCTTCTTTAAATAAAAATCAGCCCTTTTCCCCTTTGGCATATATTAAGGAAGTAACAAAAGGAAACCATTAGTTAGAGGCTGCAATACCTTCATGGATCATTCTTTATTATGAATTTTCATTTGTCATTTTTCACTTCTGAACAGAAAACAGCAAGAAAACAAGAGAGAAAGAAAACTCAAAATGTAAGCATAGTTAAAATAATCTCCAAAAATATCAGAAAAAAATTGTCTAAAAGATGGAAACTTATGGATATGGAAACTTAATTCAGAAACTCAAAACTATACACTGCTTACTTTAAACACATTTGAAACACAGCTTTATACAGGCAAGATTTTTGTATCAATATTTTTATGTTACTGCTAAGTAGATATTGACACTGTAAATAAACATGTAAAAGCATGCCTAGAATCAGAAGAAAAAGATATTTTTACTTCAAATGAATGACTAGTATTAATATGTCAACACGAGCTTCTTCATATACCACGTTTTAACACAGGACTTCTGTATGTGTTAAGTCCATATTTGTGGTAATTTTAATTAAAACAGTTAAGGTAAAGGAATTGCATGGCATTTACAAGACTGCAGTTCTACTGAAATTATCACATTAAAAGAATCTCTTTATTGTAGCTGGGCTGCTGTTGGAATGGTAGAATAGCAACACATTAAGAGGCCTCGAATGTGGATTAGAATCAGTAAAGCAGATTATAAAACAGGTTGTTAATCAAAAAGTGTGGTTCTTTTTGCCCTGAAATAATGACTTGTTAGAAAACCTCCATAAAGAAATCTCTGTATAAATATGAATATAACAGAAATATTTAGTGATACTCATAATTCCATAAAAATGCAGCATCAAATGAACAAAAAGCACATTACAAAAATTTTACCTGAGGAAACATCCAGGATTTCCTCTGGAATACTGCTACGTCCAGGAGTTCTACATTGGCCTTTCCAGCTGACAGCTGCCTCATTTTTGTTTAACAAGGCTCTTGTACAGAATTTAGCATGAGTATCTCTTGCATGAGGCAGGAAGGGAGGCTTTGCAGGGTTTGGAGTGGAAAGGAAGCGGCAGTAATTTATGACAGTTCCTTCAACACTCCTGTTGCATGGGCTTAGCAGACTGCAGGCAAGGGTGCTGCTACCAATACTCACTGCCAGTGGGGCATTCTGGCTTTGCCAACATCTGGTTCCTTATTGCTAAGATAAAGAGAAGATTTTGTACCCGAATACTTTAATTGATTCCTTCTGCAAAGCTCAAATATCTCTAGATTTTGGACTAGAAGAGGCAACTCGGTTGTAGTTAGTTAGTTATAATATTTAGTTAGCTATAATATTTGGAAAATTATTTTCTCTAACATTCCACCTCTAGGAACATGGTTATTTCATTGACAAGTCTTTCAAATATACTAGCAAACTTAAACTTTATCCACATATGAAAACACAGATAACGAATGAAGCGATGTTTTCTCCTCCTTTGATTGAAAAGTAATTTATATAACCCATTGGAAAAAAATAAAAGGGAAGCTCCATATATAATCCAATGAAATAGATGGTCACTAATGAGTTTGAAATAGGAAAAAACCCAATAAAGATTTATCTGTAGTGTAATTCCTCGGGGTTTACTTACATAAAAATGTCTTGCAGTCAGTCTGCCTGCACGTTTTCAGCACTGCACCAAAGCAGAATTTTGACTTAAGTACAGCCAGGGTATAAAAAAAATCCACAGAACTAGGAGGACTGCTCCAAGGGAGCCACTGAAGTGATCCACATGCACTTTGGCCTCCACATAAGTGCTTTAGTGTATGATTTCCTAACTTAAGTCAGGAGCAGATTTCTCCACTTTACAGAGTGCAAATCCTTCTTCATAGCGAAAGGACTACGGCGAATCATGAGGTATTAAAAAACATAATAAAAAAATGTCATCATAACTGGACAAATAATTTCAAAGCCACATAACAAAAAGGACTACTGAAACAGAATTGGAATGCAGGTAACCTAGAAAAAAAATTGGATCCTAGATCACAGTAAAAATAACAGAAACAGATGTGCCTGATCAATCTGAACTCCAATCTCAAGAAAGAGAACATCAGAAGCCAGGAAACCTTTAACAATTTTTTAACAAACTGAGTTAAATTGGTGTTAGTGATTAGTTCAAGGTTGCAGTAATAGGCACAGATTAAATAAATTAAAATGTGCGTCAAAAACGTCAAAGATATTTGATGGTAAGAGTGCAAAGGAGCAAAGTAATTGCAAAAACGATCCAGCGTAAATTGGTTTTGGAGTACAAAGCTGGACTGCTGAAGCAGTGTTACTCTACTAGCAGGCCGCAATTGTAAGTGAAAAAACTTCTCAGAACAGTTTTCACTGCTGCCAATGACAGCTGTGCCAGGGGTGATGCATATATCAAGTTTGGGAACCCACAGGCTGGTTAACTTCAATCCTTAAGTGTAAATAACACTTCTGGTAAATTAAATTTGCAGTTCTCTTTTTTTGGTGAGTGACATGAAACAAATTCTGTGTCATGTTTTTTAAATACCACCTATGATCGTCCAGCTATCAAAGTGTAGTATTTTATTATTCTTAAAAGACAGTAATGACAGTTAGTTAATTCTTAACCTTTAGAAACTCAGAGTTTATTGATGTATTCTCATGAGAAAAGTCACATAAACTCCTCTCCAATCTGTCATTTCTCGGGACCCCTGCAGGGGCTGGGAAGGTGATGCAGGACCCACGCAGCGACACCGGCTCTGCCCTGTGGGGCCCTGGGGCAGGCTTGGCTGCGCTGAGGGAGCCCTCCTCCACAGCTGTCTTTGCCCCTGCCCTCCTCACCACCTTGTCTTTCTACTCTCACGATTGCCTCAGGCAGCACAACATGGCTTTCACAGCCCGCACCACCACTCTCATCCCCAACCACTGCCCACTTGCAGCCTTCTCCATCTCCTCAGCATCCCCACTCCAATTCCCTCCTTGTACTTGGTTTTAGCTACTGCCCCACCACGACAGCTATGGGCTGGGGTAACTCTCAGCACCCACCTGCATGGCTCCTGCCAGGGCACTGCCTCCCCTCACAGAGGCCACCAGTCTGACCCAATGGTGCCAGGATGGCAGCATCCGTTGGGGCAGGGCCACACTGCCCTCACCAGCTCTAACAGTGGTGGCATGAGATGAGCGGGCAGCAGGCCCCAGCTTTTTGCCCTGTTGGTTACGGCTGACTAAACTGATCCTGTTTAAAATGTTACAGAAGGTTTAAAAAAAAGACAAACAAACCAGAAAATAACCAAAAAAAAAAAATCATCAGACACAGGGGCTTGGGCCACTGTAGGCCGTGGTTTGGTGCTGGATGTGCTCAAAGGAGCAGCCCTGCTTCCCCATCTTGCCCTGCAGCTGCAGCCTCCTCATCCCACTGGCTTCATGAGTGGGGGCTGTTGCATGTGCAGTGTAAGGCAGTAGGGGTGAAAAAACAAGCTAATAACCTAATTAATACAACACCACAATATAGTAAGTATTTTGTGGCAGAAAGCCACACATTAGTTCTGACCAGGCGTCACACAAAATTGGATCTTCAGTTCACTGGTAATTGCTCCAGTTTCCCTGGAAACACAGCAAATTGCAGGGTGAAAACAAGTGGATATGAAGAGGAAAAAGACTTTTTAAGCCAGTTTCCACCTCCAAAGCCATGTGTTTTACCAGCTACCTTCTGAAGTTCAGCTACTCATTCAAGCTTGCAGAAGCGGGAGTAGTAACATTGAGGTCAATTCAAACTGCGACCAGACAATAAAATGTTAAAAACAACAGTCCATTTCTACACTAAATGATTAGTTACTGTCAATATAATTACAACTTCAACATACTATTTGAACACAAATCTGGTGTTAAAACTAACTCAAGGAGAAGCTAGGAAGATTGAGAGGCTAACTTGTTCTTCTGAGTAGAGTTTCTTTAAGTCTACATCAAAACCAGTTGAGTTTTTAAGTGAATCCTTATTCTGGAAGAGTGTAAATAATGCAGTTAAGTCTTCTTGTGAATGGGAACCATACTGCATCTGTGTTCTTAATAGCTTAAAAAAAGAATGATACTATTGAATTAGAGTCAAGATATTTCTTCAAAACATGGAACTTGTTCAATTTCCTTTTGTTAAGGAAACAGAGATTCTCTCTTTTTTTTTTTTTAGCCAATGAAACACTATTAACCTTAAGGCTTTCTGAGGACTGCCAAACTCCTTTATCATCAATATAGTTCTGTAGACCACCTGCAGAGCACTTATCTTGACCCTGCAGACTGCCAGAAGTCTACAGGCTGCAACAAAGGAAATACAGGGGTAGGAAACATCATCTTGAAAACCAAACCATACCTTCTGTTTGGCGTGCCTAAATAAGTTGCGATTTTAAAGGCTGCACAGATCACTTTAAATGTATTCTCAAAAAAAATGCAATAGTCTATGTTGCAAGCATTCTCATTAAAACAACTCTGAGTGTCTTTATTTATAAGGGAAAATAAATGTACATAACAGTGCTAGAGGCAATGTCTGGCGCATGCACACAGACTTTTTTTACAGTTGCATTACACACAGTTGTAAACACCAGAACACTAGGAAACTAATAATTTTAATATGCTTTTAATATAATCAAGAAAGTAAAGAAACTTCTGAATCCTTAACAGAATCTAGTTTCAGAACATTTACATTCTAATTATTTTTAATCATACATTAGTAACAAATAATTTTTCTAAGGAAACAGTGTGTCCATGTACT